CCGCTGTCCCTCGGTTCAGTCAATGAAAGCAGGGAGGAGGAAGTGGTTTATTGGAGCGTGCTTTATAAGGGCTGTCTGTCTGTCGCCGTGCCATAAAACATTTGTCTCTTATTTACGGCACTTCCACACACCTACGCTGGAGGATTAGTCAGTAATTAGTAGATGAGCGGCAAGCGCTTTCCTCAGTGAGATAAATAAAGGGGGAAATCATTTCCAACTAGAACTGTAGCTCTTCCTTTTACTCGTTTGTTACAGCAGACTGTTTGCATCCCTCAGTCCAGGGGTGGCCATACTTTTTTGGCTCGCAAGCTACTTTTCACTCAACCTATTGGGCACCCGTCTCCTAGTCCATGGACAGAGAATCCATTCAGGACGTCCGTGTTGAAGTCATTTGTCTTTGATTGCAGCCAGATCTGCAAGTTCACATCAAAGAACACCGATGGCTCTTCTCAGCATATCTGTACATTGACCTGTTGCTTGACATTGACAAACAGAATTAATATGATTGAACTACAGGTTGCCCAGGACTCAGGCTCAGGCTGTGGCTCCTTTAATTGGCCAGATGGATGGAGTTGACAACCCCTAGTAGGATGAATATAGCAATATCTGCAATATAGAGTTTCTGAGGGAGCACTTGAGTAGATCAAATGTCAGAACATGTACGCATGATGCTTCCCAGGGGAGAGTCTCCCCCCGGTGTGCCCTGTTTATCAGAGGCTTCCCTGGGAGCTGGACCCAACCCCCTCACTTTAGTGCACTATTCTTTCTTTTTTTTGGTCCCGTGAGGGGAGCGCTGTGTCACACCTGTGGATTAGTGTAGAAAGGGCTCCTGGTGTTTATGAATCTTTCTTCTTTGACCGGCATGCTCATGTGTCGTCTTTACGACTTTTGTTTCTTATTTCAAATGAGCCTCGGTTTAATCAAGAGAAGCTAGTTAACATAATGAGAAGTGAGGCGTGCATGGCATGTTCAACCCGTTAACCTTTTCACATCACTACTGCTAACTGGTCGGCCGCTCGTCCAGCTCGTCGGCTTCCGACACAAACTTGAATGTTTCCCCGACGCAGTATAGAGAAACCCGTAGTAACGCTGAGATGAACGTCTCTACTGCAGAGACCGAGGGATTAACATTAAATCAGCGAATGAGCCTCCCTAAGTACTTTCTTATTTTCAAGTGATGTCTTATGTCCTCCAGCCTGGCCTCATTACAAAGCAGTCTGTGTGGAAAGGGCAAACACATAGTGACTGGCATTGTTCTGTGATTGGCATCTTGGTTTAAAGTGAGGGTGCGTTCATAAACAACCCGACCTCGTCCCTCCTTGAAAGCCTCTGTGACCACGGGCAGGTTTTGTTTACAGGTCAGCGGTTGCATTGTGCCTCTGAGACACCCTTCAGATAATGGCAACCTTTTCCAACTGAACTACTGGACCTCAGCCCAGATGCTGCCCTGACTTCTCCTGCTCATCGCTAGCTGGGTTCCTCCTTTTCACCATAACATGACCCATCACTTAGTTTGTGCAGTTTGGAATTCAGTATTGAAGTCTCCGTCATTCCTAATAAAAGGCCCGTCGGGAGGCTGCTAAACATGATTGGTTTGCCATGTTTTATTGTATATTTAGGGCTGCAACAAGTTTAACATTTTTAATCAGACTATTAAACCTCTAAGACTGTGAACAATGCAGCACATCCTCTCACCTCTACCTCATCTTTTCTTTTCCACAATGGATGTGGGTATATGTCACGTGGTAGTCTCCTACCCAACCGTCGTCTTTGCGATCTGGGCATATGCTAACTTGTATAGAAGGCTCCAGACGGATCATATCAACATCCTATTGCAACATTTCCACCGTTTTCTTTGCTATTGTCATTCATTGTGTTTGTTTGCATAAAAACACACAATTCAGATGCAGATGTTTTCCCAAGGTAGCTTTGGGAAGGGTTACCAACGGGCACAGTCATTTTCTGACTCGCCCCCCAGTATAATGATGGAGGGAAACGATGGAGATTATGTTGCTGTTCAACTACATTTTACAGGGCTACATTTGAACACATCATGGTAACTTGAGAAGTGGCCTTTTTATTGAACAGAATTGAAGCTTGAATGCGTCATAACATAACACAATGGCCGCTCCATTCACTTTCTTAATACCCCTCTTAATATCACATTTTTACTGATTTTTTTTAAATATTTAACAAAGGCAAGCATCAAATTATTTCAATTTAGGCTGAAACCTGTGCATGTTTGCCACTTTGACTTACATTATTAATTTGTTATGAGAATAGTTCCATTATCCCTGTGGAGATTTGCTCAGTTAACTACTTTCATTTCCTTATGTATGTTGGGTCAATCACAAATTCTGGGGGATTGTGTGACTTTTAATAGATATTGACCGTAGGGTGAAGAAGAAAAATGAATGACTGAAGCCTCAGAGATCCTGGTTGAGTAGGAAGTGGCTGTTTTGTGGCCGTTCGAACCTTAAACCACCAGGTCACCACTTGGTGTATTTTAACAGTGTGCAGGCAATATGTCAGCTAATAAGTAACCGCAATAGTCACCACTACATCAGTTGTCCATCAGGGAGTGCTTACAGGATCATCTAACTGGGAGGTCCAGCTCTCACGTCTACCCAGCTGTCCACGAAAACAAGAGAAATATGACATAACATGTCTACAGAGTTTATGTGGTCTATCATCCACCTTAGTTTATAGAAAGGGCTGCTGGTGAATGGGATCTTTTAGGCTGCTGTAATTGAACCTGACCCACTTGCACAATTAACTCTAACCCATAATATTTGCTCAGCGGTATTGGGGTTTTGAATGGCTCGGGCCCCAGTGGTGAGGTCGACCTCAGCGTAGCCATCAATCCGACACTAGTGTTTAACGGGCTGTATTCCTCACTGTGGAAACACCAGGCCTGAAAGTTCTAAATACATTGATATGAATGTACTGGATTGTTATTTGATTATTTAAATAATGTATTGTACTCCAACAACTCAAAGTTCAACCTTTTTAATTCTGAAATAGATCTGTTGTATTGTTACCAAAACCCAGTCCAGCTTTTTGAGTCAGTATAGTACAAGTGTCCTTAATCAAGATTAAATGGTAATGGGGGGTTATCTTGAAGTTGGATAGTTACTTCTTATCATATTGGTACTTTATCAACAATCTAAAAGAATCTTAACTGAGAAACCAATTAATGTGGGTTTACTTCCTGCATGACTGGTACTATAGTAATGGACTGAGTATGTTTGTAAGGTGCTACACCTCTTGTATTATGCATCCTAGACATCGAGTCGCACAACTTTTTTTTTTATTTATTCCTGAACTGAAAAGAACTTTTAGCTCAGTAATTATCTGTCTGTGGCACTTTTTCTGACATCTTGATTAACCTTTTATTCATGATTTGCATCACAGTGGAAGTCTCTAAAGAACCAGAGCTAAGACGTGCTTCCATCTGCTCTTCCAGGAAACCCAATCAGGTTGCTGCAAATGTGCACTTAATTGGTACTTCTCTCCAGGCAGAGTCCACCGGGAGAGACACACACACACACACACACACACCTACGAGGAGGAACACCTGAGCTCTTGTAGTTTGTTTGTCTTGAAAGGCCCATGGGAGTGTGGGGGAGGGGGGGCTTCATTGTGTCACCATCTAGGTGTATTCTGAAGCTTTAAAGACTCCGGTCCTAATTTAAACCCCATTAGTTGCATCCTTACCAGCAGAGACAGTGTGAACGAGAGCTAATGAGATCTCATGAGAATGGAGACGCAGACTTGATGGCTCCGTTCATTAAGCGACGTGACTTTCACAAGGAAAGGCGCATATATTCATATACACGTAACCGTTTTTTGTGAGAAATGTGATCATTTTAATAGTGGTGAGGACTTTGTGTTCTCTTTCCCAGCAGCCACCAATTCTCTCTCTCTCACACTCACACTCACACACACGCACACCACTGCTGTGCAACAGTGTTTGAATGGAGGCAGCTGCTTTTCATTTTCTTGAAGTTAAACGATTAAACCTGTCGCTCTGTTTAGTTAAGTCACCTCATGTTGACGGGGCGGCACGGTAGTGTGGTGGTTAGCACAAGAAGGGCCTGGGTCAGAAACTTCCCAGCAGCCTTTCTGTGTGGAGTTTGCATGAGTTCCCGTGTCTGCGTGGGCTCTTGCCGGGTACTCCGCTTCCTCCCACATGCTTTGGGGATTAGGTACATCAGGGTTTCTGTGTTGCCCGTATGGGTGTGTATGTGCACGCAGGGTCGCGGAGGGGCTGGAGTCTATCCCAGCTAACATCGGGCAAGAGACTGGGTGCACCCTGGATTGGTCGCCAGCCAATCACAGGGCTGACACATAAACAACCATTCACACACCTACGGGCAATTTAGAGTCACCAATCAACCCAATCCCCAGAGCATGTCTTTGGACTGTGGGAGCTGGAGAACCCGGTGCGATCCAGAAATGGGGAGAACATGCAGACTCCTCACACAAAGGTTGCTGGGTTGAGTCGAAGCCAGGACCTTCTTGCTGTGAGGCGCCCGTGTTAACCGCCACATGACCATACCGCCCCAGATTAAAAAATGACTGTAATAAAAACGTGTCTTGCAAACTATATCACCCTTGCTTTTCTACTGCTATTAACGAGCTAACGCCAGCTTATCGTGCTTGTCAAGCTGGATGATGAACACCTTTAGACCTACCGGAGGGACGTTACGTTCCTCAATGCAAAGCGGAACAGGAGTAGGATTCTGAAGTGACTGCTGTTGAACTCCCTCCCTCCTCATCAAGGACTCCAACATTTTACGTTTTATGTGCTGAATCATCACAGCGTGTTCGTCCTGCGATTGACTGGTAACCAATCCAGGCTGTGCGTTGTGTGTTGGCTGGGATTGACCCAGCCCCCCGACAATCCTGTAAAAAGGACAGGCAGCATAGAAATGACGGACTGACCTTGTGTTGAAGGTTGATGGCTTCAATTTAACATCAAATCTCTTTCATTTCAGTGTGCAAGGACCCACCTTACAAAGTGGAGGAGTCTGGATACGCAGGCTTCATCTTGCCTATTGAAGTTTACTTCAAAAATAAGGTATATTTGAACAGTTTTACTCACTGTTTTAATACTGTATTCATTGAAAGTCTTAATCTGCTCTTTCTTCAGGTTTGTTGGGTTGTGTGATGGTAGCAAACCATTCTTCCTCATTTCTGAAGAGCGAGACATTTTTGTGCAGCACTTTCATTATGCACCAATAATAGTTTTACTATTAATGGATTTACCATTAGAGCAGTTGAAAATGCTTCATTAAACTTTTGGTTCTCTCAATCATTGGAGTCACTCTGGAGAAGCAGAATGTAGTTTGGATCTGAAGGAGTGCAGCATAGTGGTGTTGGTGAAGTCCTGATGTGACCGTTTTGCCTCTCTCGGTGGAACACCACTTCTCCTCAGGAAGAACCCAAGAAAGTCCGCTTTGATTACGATCTGTTCCTTCACCTGGAGGGCCACCCACCTGTCAATCATCTGCGCTGTGAGAAGCTCACCTTCAACAACCCAACAGAGGAATTTCGAAGGAAGCTGCTGAAAGCCGGAGGGGTAAGAGTTTAAAAGGGAGGTGGGGACTGTATGTTTACAGTACTGCAACCCGCCTAGAATGAAAAACGTAGTATTTTTCCTTCAGGGAAGGCGGAGTTCAGGACTATGTCCTGAGAAACACTCATTCAGTTTCACATTAAAACCGTTCCATTTAACCTGCCTTATGTCTGCCACAGTGGATTAGCCGTTTCATTATGTACATATTTAAAGAATAAGGCTGATAATATATTTATTGTTAACAAATCCTATGAGAAAAGTCATTTGTAGGCCTGGCAATTTAGGGCTGGCCCTTAAAAGTCAGATTGGTTCCCTAGTGGAATCTTCTTTGTTTTGTTAGCTGCATCATATAACTCTGCATACTGTAAACTTAACAAAGCCAATCTCAAAATGAGCTGACAGCAGGCTGACAAATGATGAAAGGGCCTTCCAGAAGTTGTCCAGCCTTACTGTCCATAAAGCTCTATATAGGTCTAGGGTTACCATGCATGCATCCAGATTTTCTTTGGTCTCAATCCCTGACCTTTTTAATATTGGTATTTAATACCAAGTCCTATCAAATGTTTAATGTTGATTAAACCTTTAAATAACAGCTGAAACTAAATTAAACCCACCAATGTGATCCAAAGCAAAAGTAGTTTTTCAGGAGGAAAAACCCTACATCAGCCATGATTTAGTTGTGCCTGACATTAAGCATCCAATGTTCATGATGTACGATTGCCCGGGGCCATCCTCAGCTCGCTCCTTCGGTCTGTGCTGTCAACTGTCTTTCGGGCCGGGAAAAAGTAATTGGCATAACTGTAGTAGGAAAAGGCATGTGGGAAAATGAGAGATGAGGGGAGTTGCAGAAGGGAGGATATGAAAGAAGGTGGAGAGAAGGATGTGGTAGTTCATCGTGTCAAAACGCTGCTGAAAGGTGTCGCAGGGTGACAGAGGAGAAGAAGACTGTTCTTGCAGTTGGGAGGTCCTCAGTAGAATGGCCTGCCTTGACGAAAATGCTTGAAGATATGCAGAAAAGAGTGAAATCAGCACATTCAAGTGTTCATGAAAGAAATATACTGGTCTGTAAATGTAAAGCTAAGAAGATTTTGATTGAAACCTCCATCAGAGGTGTCAAAAATATTCACATTCATTACTCAAGTAGAAGTATAGATACTAGAGTTAAAGTAAAAGTATAAAAGTACTGGTTTCAAAACTACTTGAAGTATACAAGTAATGTAAGGGGGAAAATAAATCCATTAAGGACAAAATCTTAATGTGTAACCTCGCTCACAGAACATGTCAGTCCGTTACAATATGATCGGAAGGTGCCTCCAGATCATGTGACCTGTGAACATGGCGATATTCAGAGAGGCAACACTGAAACAGAGGGACAAATGTATCAACCTGCATGCTATATAACATAAACAGATAAAACCAGAACCCATTTTCCAGTGACTGCTAAATGACATGAGTCAGAGGACGTACACACACCTTTGTCGCTACATACTCAACTGAGATCGGTTTGTGCCGTTCAGAAAAGGCAGGAGTAGAAAGTACAGATATTTGTGTGAAAATGTAAGTAAAAAGTTGCCTTCAAAAATAAATACTCCAGTAAAATATAGATACTCAACATTTATATTCGTAGTGTTTGTACTTCATTACCTGACACCTCTGGCATCCATTGACCAAATGATGTTGGACATTCACACATCTTCACTTGAATATGGAGGAAAATGCTCGCCGTGTAGATGCTGCTGTGGTAAAGGTGAGCAGTCTGAGGTGGATCAAGCAAAGCAGGCTCCAATGTATCTAACACCCTCATATGATCCCTAGCAAGGACTGAGGACGCAACTAGGGTTGCTTCCTTAGTGTTGGTCCCCTGCCAGAGGACCCCTGATGCCTAGGCCTTTTATGACTGGAGCTAAGTGCTCTTTATTTACTTTGGCCTGCATCCCCTTCTCAGCCTCAAAAGGACTTGTCATTGACTATATCAAAACTCACATTCTCTGTTGTGTCTCCCCACTTAAAGATCCATTTCTTTGAATTCAAACCTACCATACCACGCCTTGTTCCACTGTTTTGAATATTAATAATGTAAGTGGGTTTTTGCCTTAGCTATTCTTTTGAATGTGAGAGAATGAAAGTGTAAATCTTTGTTGTTCTCCTTTTAACAGCAACGGGATCCTCACAAACGAAGTTCAGAAGACTCTAAAGTAAGATTTTTACCATAATTTGGGGCTCAGGGTGAAACGGCTTGACTGACTGAAGATGACTAAGAACTTGGATGATTCTAGAAAGTGGCTACAAACTGTTTCTGTGTAATTATACCAGCATGTTTATTGTGGCTGGGAGACTTACCCTCCAGTGCCTCAGGTACATTCACTTTATTTCTTTCAAAAGTAAGACAAGAAAAATGTCCTGTATTGGTTAATTCTTCTGCCATAGTCCAGACGTTGGCAGCTGAGCCCAGCAACAGATTTTTGTTTTGGCGAGAGAAAGGTGGTACACATTCACCGAGGAGCTTTGGAGGTGCATAGTGTGCTTTTGAACTTTGGACAGAGACATCAGTGTTTCCTCATTATAACAGGGGCCGCCCCTCCCTCTGAAGTTATAAACCTAGGGGAAACACTGGTTTAATGCACATCACAGACAGATCAAAACTCTTCTTCTTGTAGCTTACGGTCTCCAAGGGCGTACCCTTTTGATCCATTCCTTTTTAGATTAGAATCATAAAACCTTTTATTTGATGTGAATGAATATAGAATACAGGAATCTGATCCTTGTGGTTTGCTGCCGTTTCTCTGCGAGGTGATGGTAATGCAGGAGGGCTCCACCTCCCTGTTCACCCAGCACCTGAAGCTGCCTACGCTCCCCAACACCTCGCATCTGACACCCACCTTCTCTGATCCAAAGAAGAACAAAAGCTTCCATGGCTCAAAGGTCAGTGTTGTCTTCGGGGACTTGCCGGGAGCTAGACAACCTCCTCCTCTGCCTTCATTCTTGGGTCCCACCCAGCTCTGAGACTTTCTACCTCTAGTATTTCGGCCCTAATCCCTAAAACATTTTGCAGAGGCAAAGGCCTCTATGATAGTCATACTCAAGGATTTCAAAGACATCCAACATTTCCTAGAACACACTTTGTTTGCTGCCGCTCAGCTGTAAACACTGACAGAGACAGATTGAGACTGATAATCTTTGACAACCTGTGGGTTAGAGCAGGGGTGCCCAAGCTTTTTTGCCTCACGGACCGCTTTCATGTAAGCCAATAGTGGCGGATAAACACAGCGAAATACCGGTAACCGGCCGGGGGTGGTTGTGGCGCGCTCTCTATCCGCTGGTGGGCAGAACTGCCGTGCACAGTGAATAGTGATTCTTGGGTAATATGTCAAGAGAGACGAGCGCACGTAATCGTGCCTGGAAAGGACCCTTGCATGGCAGTTCTGTCCCGACACATGTGCAAATATGTCATGTGCGCATGGCCCTCGCACCAGCGGACAGAGAGCACCCCCGTTGGCCGAACTGTTCGCCTGACTACTGTCTCGGGGAAACAACGATACAAGTAGTAGACAATAATGTACAAAATGATTCAAGCATGATGGGCCCAGAAGCTGCAGGGAAGATTGAGACAGCTCGTGCACCACTGAATCATGTATGTCAATAAGCTGGCATGTTGTTTCCCTTATGTGTTATTTTTAGTCCCTTTTTTAAATAGTGGTCCAGGTTAGGAGACGCCCATTTCACATGGAAACAGTTTCTAGTCTAAACACAGTTCGTGTGATAAATTACTTGTGGAGCAGGCGGTCACACACACACACACACACACACACACTGTCCAACTGCATGTTATTTTACAAATACCATGTTGCATAGAACTACTTTGTGGCAAGTTAAAGCACAGTTAAAACTGCGGCAATTACTTTGACTATTAACGCAATTTTAATAAAATATTATTTTGAAAGTCTGTTGCTTACTGGCTCTATATAGACACACACAAAACACATGGGTCAACAGAGGGGGGGTGGTGATCAGTATTGGTTGAGCACACATCTCAACCAATGAGAGCATTTGGGGGCGGGCCTAAAGCCTAGTTTATGCGTTTTCAGAGAGACGCAAAGACACGCAGACGCAAGACCCCCTTGCGTGTCCCTTGCGCGCCTTTTCACACCTCCTTGCGTCCTTGCGTGTGTCGACCCATTTTTCTAGGCTTGCGTCAAAAGCTACACAAGCCTCCTGCAGCCCGCAAGGCTGTGATTGGTCTGCTAACTACATCCTTTATGTATCACATTTCCGGTTTCATAGCACAATACCGCCATTATTAAAACAAAGATTTTTACGAGAGAACGGATCAGATTGAATAACTTTTGTCGGAAGAAATCCGTAAATATCACCACTTCTACAGCCTCTGACTCATGGAGGGAGATCTCTGCAAACGTCTGTTTGCCGGTCGAGGGGTGTACAAAGTTGTGGGGGAAAATACGTAACAGATGGGTCCGTGATGAAAATGGAAATGTGTGACTCCGTAAAGGATGTAGTTAGCAGACCAGGAGGCTTGCGTCGCTTTCGACGCAAGCCTCCTGCAGAAAAATAGGTTGACGCACGCAAGGAGGTGTGAAAAGGCACGCAAGGGACACGCAAGGGGATCTTGCGTCTGCGTTTCCTTGCGTCGCTCTGAAAACGCAGAAGCATAAACTAGGCTTTATTCGTTGCGATTCCAAGGACGCTTCATTCTTCGTGAGTTGGTTTGTCGACAGTTCTCCTGCACGCCGCATCCAACCTAGTCGGCCAAAGCCTCGCTCCACTGGTTGTTTTGGGAGCTAGTGGGCTCATATCAATTCAGTGTAACCCTTTAGTATTACTTCAGGCTCGTAGTACTCCTGTGATAAGATACGTTTTGCAGTGGTCACAAATAGCTTTGTATTTATCAACTACACGCCGTCTGGTAGATTTCAAATGAAAATGTCCATTTAAGAGTGCAGAGATTTTCTCCATTCTCCCAGTTAATTTGCGCCGCAGTGTTAAGCCCCTCCCAATGCAAAAAAAAAGAATGGCTGTTAACGCATGAGGAAATTATTGTCTGCGTTAATGGATTAACGATTGATGGAAATACGTTAACGCATTTCTAACACATAATGCCTATTAAACTGCTATTCTAGATGGTGAAATCGTAATAAAACAAAATCATAATAATAAATGACTTGATCCAGGCCTCTTGTTTGATTGAACAAAATATATACCTAGAAAGTTAAACATAAATCCGTAACCGTGTGGTATGGTGTGGTTTCAGTTCGGACAGCATTATTGTTCTTACCCCTAAACTGATTTACATGAACCTGGGTGAGCTGCTCAATGTCATGGTGCTGAGAGGTCTGTTAAAGAGTGCCCCTTTGGTGAATCCATGTTGGTGGCAGCAGAGGCACCGTGTCCCCTCTAGAGCACTAAAGCAGATCGATGTGTGGCGGGCTGGGATCACTGCAGCCGAGGAGTGCGTTGGAGTTCAGACACGAGCCGACAGCTTTACACCCTAAGGTCCCGAGGTCACTGACAGATAAACAAAATAAAGGTTTTAGAGGCGGTGTTCCAAAGTTGTCGGCCTCCCGTCGTCTAGACTGCTTTAATGGCTTTACTGCATTGATGAAATATTGACATGGGGGCTGGAGGTGAGGCCCAGAGAGTCGTTAAAAGGAATGCACTTCCTCCTTTCTCCATGTTAGCCTTCGCTCCACTTTTAAGGGTGTGCATGTGGCTGCTGAAAAGGCCCTCAAAAGTCTTGGGTTTGCTTCTCAAGTCCATAGAGACTAACAAGACCCTTTAGTATACTGTGATGCCAAGCTGCAGGGCGCCATGAGCTTACCTCTTGTGTCAAAGGCTAAGATGAATCTTGACTTGACCTCGCTCTCTGCTTTTCGCTCAATTTGTTGATTGGCACCATGAATTTTTGGGCTAAAGGGCTAAATGTGTTCTAAAGTTAACAATCAAGTCAATCAAAGAGGACAACCGTACCAGCACACATGTCGAGAGTTAAACCAAATTCAGTTATCACTGCAATGCAAGACCAGGTTGTCCTACCAACAGAATTAGTCAGTGTTCGCTCTATTATGTTTGCCCACTGACCTAAAGATGGGATTTCCACTGCTCCTTAATCCTTTGTTGCTGAGGTTTATTCGTTTGTAGCTTATGATTCTGTGTAGTTCTGCACCAGCACCCTAAAAGTTGGGTAGACTTTCTTGTCTTTTCTAGACCTGCTTGAATCTGCCGTCATGATTTGGACTTATTGCCGTTTGCTCTAAAGGACGTTTTTGTCTAATGAAAGAATTGTTGATTCGCAGGATGGCTCCAAAGGAAGCGGTGTCACCCTTCTCACCACCGCCACAACCACCAGCACCACCAACAGCAGCAGCTTCTCCAAACTTCACAAGCCCTCCAAGGACCACAAAGACAAGCCTCCAAAAGACTCAAAAGAGCCAAAAAGTGCCTTCAGAGACTCCGACTGGGAACCCAGCAAAACCCCCAAAGAACCTTCCAGGAAACCCAAAGAGAACCAACCACTTAGAGATATCAATCCTAAAATGGGCTTCAAGGAACCCAAGTCTTTGTCCAAGGAGCATCGGACTGAGGGTGGGAACCACGGGGCGGTTCTAAACAAGCGTCTGTCCACCCCCGACCGTGACAATCGCGTGACCAAAAAACGTAAAAAGGGATTCGGAGATCCAGCAGGGAAGCCACCGTCTGGGTCAGACACTCAACATTTGGATAAGAATCTCTTGAAGGATAGAATGAGTAAACTGCGACCAGAAGCTACTGAGGCAGACCGAAGGAAGGTTTCCACGCTGCTACCGTTCCAGGAAAGGGTGAACCCCAATGACTCGGATATTGAGGACCAGTCTACCAAATCGGATGTAAGTACGATGTCTTTGCCATTGTTATCAATATCAATTTACATTTATTTCGTATAGCCCCAAATCACAAATTATAAATGATCCCCTGAGGGATATACAGTCAAATTCAACATCCTCTGTCCTTGAATCCTCTAATCGGCACAAGAAAAACAGCCTTTAAACAGAGGGGGAAAAAGGAAGAAACTCTAGGGAGGGCAGCAGAGGAAGATCCCTCCATTATGATGGACAGCAGTGTGATAGATGTCATGTTTATACAATGAAATCACAAGTGCAAGGGTTCTTGGGAGCACATTGAACTCCCTGATATAAGCTTACCAGCCAGTACCCGAAGAAAGGGGTGAAAGGAGGGGTTGTGGAGAGTGCCCCAGTTCCTCCAAGGCTTCAAAGAGGGCGGTGTGCTGGTGGTCAGTCCTTCCCTGGCTATATGCTATAAAGTCAAATGGCCAACTGAGAGAAAAACTTTTTCTAATGGGAGTCCCAAGAACCACAGGGGTCTGGACAAGGGAAGTGTGGTGGGGGGGGGGCGCGCTGTCATTAACTACCTCAGGTTCATTCATCTGGGTGGCCCAAACAGGAAGTGGAAAACAAAACTGAAGCAAGATGGTTACATGATCCAGTTTTGTTGACCTATTAACGGTAAAAGCACATAGAAGGAATTTTGCTTTTTGGGACCCTAAAAGTGTGTTTTGTTGATTAAGTAACTGGATGTGGAATCGTATCCGGCTCCACATATTGAGTAGGATTATACTTCACGTCTACAGTGGCTGCTTTCATGAGTATGCTGACATTTGACTGGGTTGCCTGGTCCACACACATTTGGGGGAGGACCTCCCCATAAAGCCAGGCTGTTTTAAAGCAAAATAGTAGACAAGAAAGATTTATGGTTTTACAACACCTGAGGAGAAAGGGGAGACGTGAATGGCCCGCTTTTCCCTTTAATCCTTCTAGCTTTTAAAAGGAGTTTGTGTGAGAAAGGTCTAAATCCCTGCGCTTTGAGCACTTTTCTTTCCTGTCATGGTGTTTTCATTTCTATTCTCTTAAGCTTGTATAAAGCGTAGGTCTTTGTATCTTTCTCCTTAGGGGTTCAGCCAGGGGAGTTATGACTTAGCACAAGCACAACCCATGTTTTTGTCTGCGCTGTATGTAAATGCCTCTCAAGTTGTCCCACGGACAGGCTGGGGGTCGGGCCGGCCGTAAAGGGGATGTGGGTTGACAAATACCAGGTGTTTGATCCTCCCCAGGCTAGCGACTGCGGTGGGTGAGCGCAGTTCTCCCTTCTTATTTGACCACTTGTTTGATCTCAGTGTTTCTACCCGAGCACTGGGCCAGAAATGGCAGATGGGAGGAAATGTGGAGTAGGTGATGACATGAAGGGAGAACCGGCTGGAGCGTCATCCCGGGAAGCCATTAAGCACACGCGAGGAGGGAACCGTCACCTGCACAAGTCATTTGATAAAAGCAAAATGCAATGCTTTGTACACGTTATGAAACTCATGTTAACTTGTATGTCAAGGATAATTCATTAATATTTGCAGCACAATTTTTGAGAGATATTTGAAATATGCACTCAGTTGTGGAAGAAACACTTCCTTAACCAGCTTAACCACCAGTTCTTAACCAGTGGGTGTTTTTTGTTTAGTTCAAAAATGAAACTGCATATACTGTTATCCCTTACAATGGAATGAAACAGGATTTACTGTATATTAAGAGAAATGATAGATATAGAACTTCGGCTTTGACATGGACATTTTGAAAGAAAAGTGACTAGGTCAAATAAATAAAGTTGAGGTCATTTGGCCTTAACTTGCATTGACTCTGCAACAATGACCCAACAGCTGAGAGAACCATGAACGGGTTAACCGCAGCAACCGCAGTGCGAATGAGCTGATAGATTAGTGTGCCTACCACAATGTCTCTGTACAGAGTGAGACTGTTTGGACTGCCCCTGCTGAATCAGACAAGCTAACCAAATGCTCTATGCTCGGTTTGGTCTTGTTTGCTGACATTTCTTGTTGGCCATTCTAACTGTGCCAAGAGTAAAGAGAAAAGGCCAGATTTATGGCTAAAGACTAGTTGTCTCTGAGGAGGTCAGCTTTGAGCAAAGCGGACAAAGGCCCTTAAAAGGAGCCGTGGTGAGATTTATGGCCGTCTGAAGAACTGTCCCATAAACCACCAGACCAGCTGTGTGCTGTTTGTCGGTGGGAGGTGACGGCCATTGAAGTCGCTCTGCCCTTTGTCCTCACAGCTCTCTTTTTCTCCTGTTTCTTCTGGAGGTGGCTTCTCACACGTTGTCTCTGTGGAGCCACATGTACATTTTACACTGCTGATAGAAGGACGCGTTGTAGACATCCACATCTCCAGTTGGTCTGAGTGGGTCACAAAATGTACTATGGGGAAATGATTAAATCCACCTATGCATAAGCATAGAGAAAGACAACAAAAACACCACTACGTATAGACTATACAATATAATTATAGCATAAACCCCTATGTATGTATGTATGTATGTAGCTAGTTGGCTTCCAGATAGCTAGCTATAACAGCAGGAAATATGTGGCTTCCCTTTATTCAATTGAACAAACTCAAAAACACAACATTTGCACTATTAAAGGTGTGTACACTGGTATTACTCCACTTGATGGTGAAACAGTCTGATAGTAACAATCCTACTTCAATTTCTATAACCATGAATGACGTGTTCCGAGGGTCCTGAACACGGCACAGCGCTCTTCTATTCATCTTGTACTCCTTTTATTTCTGGTTGAAAAGAGGTAGAATAAGCACAGCAGGACCACTAAAGCAGAGTCCTTGTGTGTCTCTTCTTCACGCCTCTGGCCAAGAGGCAACCTGTGCATCCAGACCACAGGTTATGTTCTACTTCCCATGTGCAGACAGCAATGTAATTGTTCCATTAGGTTCTGTTGTTGTCCCAAACTGTTGACCCATCACTTGAAACCACTTTCTCGGTTTACTCCCCTGTGTGCATTTTGATTCTTGGTTTTCTTTATTTTTTTTTCAATTCAGTTTGCGTCATGTACTGTCTAGCTGCTGTGTCCTTATTTTTGTCAGATGCTATGAACTCTTTCAGAGCGCTGACACTTTCTCCTACTGAAAGCCAAAGATAAGAAAACCTGAAAATATTCACTATACTTGTGGCTACGTTAGTATGAAGGGGGACAATCGGAAACGTCTTTAACACAGCAAAATAAGACAATCCTTGGATGGAGACTGCGCTACACACTTCTTGCGAGAAAGAAAAGGAATCCCTCTCCAATCAGTCTTATCATTTTTTTTTCATTTTCGAGATGGGAATGTGCAGTGAATTGTATTCCATTTCAAAGGGCTTCAACCAATCAGGGGTCAGATAATCAATCTGATGTACTGGTGTTTCCATTTGATCTGACAAAGACAACTAGGGGGAGCTCTTAGTTCCCGAGAGCATCCTTGTTAAAATTTACGAGCTGCCTTTGAGAGCAAATTTGAGAGCAACACGTGACTGTCTAAGGAGTGAGGTCTCAAGTCCTAAAAGATATCGATCTGAGCTATAGTAACAGGGAAAAGTCTTAACTTAACTGTTTTTCATTACATTTATACTTAATATGTCTCATATGTCATGGAAGATGTTTAGAGCTATACATTAAGACGATTGTTTGTGCTGCGGTACCATCTGACTTGTAGCAAATACTATCATACAGGAGTTGGTGTCGATCTTTTTTTCTTTTTCTTCAATATTCATATAATACTCAAAATGGGTATCATGATTACGCCGATACGTGTGTCCAAAAAAGGATCAGCCAATTCTAATGCTTGATGGAGATTTCAGGCTCAAACACTAAAACAAGCAGAACAGCAGTGTGTTCATTAGCTAGATGCCAACATGACATTGTGTTAGTGGCGACAAAGACAGACCTATGTGACTCCTCAAAGGCTACGTGGGTTTAGGGATCCATCCGTCTGACACACCAGTCCTGACACAGAGCAACACCTGCAGGTACGGAGTACTGATCCCTTGCTGGGGGCTTCAAGCCTCTTTCACACTCCAAACAAAAAAATGGTTCATTGTAAAACATCATTAAAAAAATCAACTTTGGTGGACGGCCACAGCCTTGGTAATTATAACAAAGAAACTGAAATCAGTCTTGGACCCCCCATGTTCAGTTTGTTATGCTTTATTTTCCAGGCAGTCAGTAAATAATGAACATATTTAAGATTTTTCCGTCTCGCACTAAATAATGAGCCGTGGGAACTTGTACCTAATATATATCATAGCATGAAGGTGGTCAAAAGTTCAAAAGTAAACATTGACAATCTCCTGTAGGTTTTATTCATCACAGTTTGTTTTTTTCTTCTCTTCTCCCAGTCAGAACAGCCCAGTCCAGCCAGTTCCAGCTCCAGTTCAGGCTTTGCTCCCACACACCACCAACGGCAAGGTAATTATAACTTTCAGCTGATACCTCTTCTTCATTGTGTCTTTCAGTCCCAAATGGTCCATAGAGAGGTCCAGTGTCATTGCTCTAGAAATCCTTTTGGACTAGAGCGAGTGTCAGAGGTCAGGGTCACCAGTGTGGGGCATTGGCCTCTGCTTTACTTGAGGGTGACCTCTGCTTGTGTGTTTGTAATTTTCTCTGGATGCAGTGGTGGACTTCATCATCAGGAAAAGGGTGGCTTTACCTGGCCCCACCCATACAGGTAACCTTTCCTGTTAGCCCCCCCATGCACATATGCACGGAGAATCTCTTGGCTACATTCGAATTGTCAAAACAATTGCCTCCTAACGTCTGTTCCTAACCACTATTCCTTGACCTCTGTGGAAAACATCACTGGGTCAAGGAAAGATGGTTAGGGGAATTTATGAGGAGTTCGGAAAAGTCAGCCGCGGTGTTTAGATCCGACATCCACTTTCACTAAGCTAAGTACTTATGATGCGACAGGAGACGCATGTTAGTGATGTCAGTCAGCAGCACGAAACTACAATTCCTCCGAAAATGGACTATAAAGAAGCGCATCTTAGATGCCTCCGTCCGTGTTGTTACAGTGGAGTCGTGCAGACGACATAACCAGGTTCAAAGTATTACTTTATTAACAAGGTTGCACTATAAATGAGTTATGCTAACGGTTACTCACATGATCTACGTTTCTCGGTTATTTCTCATGAACGGTCAACGTCACTATATGTCACCATTTAAATATTGCCCCCGCAAGGAATTGTGTGACAGAAATATCTCCTTGCCTTTCGTAAAAGATGGTCCAGTGTTTTCTATGCTAAAGGAGCAGAGTAGAAAAGCATTGAAGCTCATTTTCTTAACATTTAGAGAACTCGAATAGCACTTATCATGGCAGCCACACTACTTCTGGGTCATTTTCCTCAGTTAGGAACCTTCCTAAGCAGATTTGACAATTCGAATCCAACCCTTGTCTCAGAGCATGAAAACTCGTGCATCTCTCTGCAGCCCTGTCCGTAGGTGATTGGTGCAGAGCAGCATGTGCACATGCGTCCTCCTGCACTCTGTGATGTCATTGTCCTTTCATCGCCACAGACACACTGACTGTAGTGTATTTCACTTCATTCCACTGTCCTTCTGCCAGAAATACTCACCAGTGCACCTAATATGGATAAAAATCCTCTGCTGCAAATAATCCCCAATGTATGTTTGCCATTCATATAAAGAAAGAATGTATCTGTGGACCAGATTTGTGCTGAGAGGCGCTGATCAGAGAGGCCGACTAATGCATCATTGGTTTAGGTGTTTTTGCAAAAAAAGAAAAGTGAAGAGTAAAAGTGTTGTGCAACCACAGCTTCCACTATTCGACCAGCTTACATGAACCGCTGCCTTGTTCGTGCCTTCACCCGAGCCCCGACAAAGTAATGACAGCTCTGCCACCATCCCACAGTGCTGGGCCCGCTGCAGTCGGTGCTACAGGACCTGCACTCCGATGATAACGATGACGATTCAGAGGACGACGACGACGACGACAACGACATAGACTCCGACGTGGAGCGACCGCCACACGCGCTTCTCACACACCACCAACGCAGGTTAGTGGGCCTGCTGATGGAGGACAGGGAACCACACTTGGGCCTAGGCACCGTCGGCTAATGCTGCTGGGGAAACGCACATTGGAGGGGTTGATTTTTCATCTTTTTTACATCTTAAGGGAATACATTTTGTATGAATTTAAATATGCTTACACTGCATATGTATCACTGCAGTAAGGCAGCATTGATAAAGAGACATAATGTAAATCAGCTGATATAATACAAGCAACACTATCCATTCCTTTTTTAGAGCTCGGTAGTCCCATTTCTCTTGGTATTTAGAGCTGCACTAGTCAATGGTATTGAATTCACAATCAAATGACTTTGTGTAATGTGAAAGGTGTAAATGGTAAATGGTAAATGGCCTGTACTTGTATAGCGCTTTTCTAGTCTTCTGACCACTCAAAGCGCTTTAACACTACATGACATCATTCACCCATTCATACACTTATGACAGGAGAACCATACACAGTGACACCTGCCATCAGTAACTACCATTCACACACTGTAGTCACAGCTACAGAAGCAATGTTGGGTTAAGTGTCTTGCCCAAGGACACAACGGCATGCGGGTTAGCCGGGCCTGGGATCGAACCGACAACCCTCTGATTGGAGGACGACCGTGCTCCCCACTCACCCACAGTCGTTGTAGTGATGACCCCACAAAGTATTCTTCCAGAAGTGCAGTTTCCACTTTTCCTCTACCTGTCCAGCAGACTGGTTGGTGAACTGGAAGAGCATTTATGACCTTCAGAGACACTAGAGCTAAAAGAGAGATTTCATATTGGACGTGCATTCATCGGATGGACAGTAATTCGACTCCAGATGAATGCTAATGTTGCTTTGAGTCTGCTGGATGTATAAATGGTAGATCTGATATACCGGATGTTTACTACTCGTTCTGCTGTCAGCATTGGGTCAGACACAAACCTCAAAGTCTGGGCGTCGTTGAACACCTGTCTATCTTTCCTCCTATGATAAACTACCCAGGGTCAGTTTGAGTGATGGCAGTGAGAGTGACAGCTCCTCACCCTCCCCCCCATCCCGGAATGAAGTCCCACCCATACTTAAGACTACTGCTAACCAGGTAACACGATATGCTATGCTGTGTATTCTTGTGGTTAGTGTAATTTAACTCAGCACAAGGGTGTAGCTCCATGTGTCTAGAGTGACCGTGTACTCTGTCCTCTGTCAGATAATGGAATTGAAGAGTCCCAGCAAGCAGAGGAACAGAAACCTAGACTGTGATAAGGTAAAACAGGCTCTTCTGTCTTCATTACAATACATTACATGTCATTTAGCTGACGCTTTTATCCAAAGCGACTTATAATAAGTGCATTCAACTATAGGGATACAAACTCAGAAGAGCAAGAAACGAGAAAGTGCAATTTCATCAAATAAACCCATTTGCTATAGATAAATTGTACTTATAATGCCACTTAGGTGCTTCAATTTGTTAGTCTTTTAGTCGAGGTAGTGTCTGAAGAGGTGTGTCTTTAGTTTGCAGCGGAAGATGTGAAGGCTCTCTGCGGTCCTGATGTCATCAGAGAGCTCGTTCCACCATTTCGGAGCAAGGACAGCAAAGAGTCGTGATCTAGTCGAGTGTTTTGCTCTCAGTGAGGGAGGAACGAGCAGTTTTGCAGATGCAGAGCGGAGAGTGAGGGTCGGGATGTCGGGTTTGACTATGTCCTGGATGTAAGCTGGACCCGATCCATTCACAGCATGGTACGTGAGCACCAATGTTTTGAACTGGATGCGGGCAGCCACCCGTAGCCAGTGAAGAGAGCGGAGGAGTGGAGTAGTGTGGGAGAATTTCGGAAAGTTAAAGACCAGTCAAGCTGCTGTATTCTGGATGAGCTGCAGAGGCCGAATGGCGGTAGCAGGGAGACATGCCAGGAGGGAGTTGCAGTATCTCCCAGGCGTGAGATGACAAGAGCCTGAATCAGTACCTGCGCTGCCTTCGGAGTGAGAAGGGGACATATTCTCCTGATGTTGTAGAGCGTGTATCTACAGGATCGTGTTGTCGCAGTGATGTTGGGAGTCAGGGAGAGTTGGCTGTCGAGTGTCACACCGAGGTTCCTAGCAGTCAAAGTGGGCGTTAGCACGAAGTTGCCAAAGTTGACCGTCAAGTCATGGGTCGGAGAATCTTTTCCAGTCAGACAGGCGGAGATCCGTGCCGCCACCTGAGTGTTCGAGTGAGGGAAGGAGAGAATTAGTTGGGTGTCATCGGCATAACTGTGGTAGGAAAAGCCATGCGAGTGAATGACCCCGCCGAGAGAGTTGGTGTAGAGCGAGAAGAGGAGGGGACCCAGGACGGAACCCTGAGGAACTCCAGTAGTAAGAGGACAAGGTTCCGACAAAAATCCTCTCCAAGTTACCCGTTAGGTGCGGCCGTCGAGGTAGGACGAGAGAAGGGAGAGAGCAGAGCCTGAGACACCAAGTTCCTGAAGGGAGGAAATAAGGATCTGGTGGTTGACTGTGTCAAATGCAGCAGAGAGGTCCAGAAGGATGAGGACAGAGGAGAGAGAGGCAGCTCTAGCAGTGTGGATTTGCTCTGAGACAGCAAGGAGAGCAGTCTCTGTGGAATGGCCTGCCTGAAGGCTGACTAAGTGGGGCTCAAGGAGGTTGTTACGGTGTAAATAGGAGAGAGGTGGTTAAAGATCGCACGTCAGAGTTTTGGATAAAACCGTTTTTTTCCACTAGAAGTCTGTCCCTATCAATCGATGAGGTGATATTTGTAGTAAAAAATGTTCATCTGCCTCAGTCTATTACACAAATGTACTTTGTGTTTTAATGGGTCATCGTGTAGTATAATAATACAACACCCTTAAAGACATGCAATGGCTCACAAGTTATTATAGAATTCATATTATTTGATTTTGCCACGCTCAAGTGGAGTTCCCGGCCGGGCGGACACAGTAATTTTCTGACGCGCGCTCTCTGTCCCGCTGGTGTGCACGTGTCTTTGCCTGCCCATCAGGGCAGAACTCCACTGAGCATTGGAGAAATGCAAATGTAAAAAAAACTTAAAGAGTTTCTGGGGAGGTGGCCAGCACGATGAAGGGTTCAGGCTCGATACGTTTGCCTTCTGCTAGGCTTCTTCTTAATGACTCCCATGAAATAAACGTATATAAGGTGTTTAAGAACAGCTTGGTGAGATGGTCCTGTGTATAGCTAACCACATGTTGCTCTGTGCTCCCCAGGCCTACCTGGACGAGCTGGTGGAGCTGCACAAAAGACTGATGACACTCAGAGAAGGTCATATACTGCAACAGGTATGTATGTCCACCTCATGATCACCCGCCGTTTCCTCTTGTCTCATCTAACTCCAGCATCTTATACTGACAGTCTTTTTTATTACCCACATTCTTCTTCTTAGTCTGAACTCCGCCAAATATACCCACAATGTCAACAGTTGGGTGGTAGATTAAGGTGTATTTAGCTGATAGCGGCTAACATAAGCACTTCCCTTTGCTTAAACTTGGTAGCGTTAAACTAAAAGCCTGCATGCCTATAACAATAGATATTCAGTCTGATTTTCCAGCATATTTACTTTGTGTTTGGCCAGCAACCACTCAGATGTGAGGCTAACGGCCAACGGCTACTGTCTGCGTGAAGCCCTAGAGAAGTGTCTCTTTCTGTGTGTGGCTTCCATCAGAGCTTCATAACCGGCCCGACCATTTTAGTGTATATGAGTTCCTGTGAGTGGGCTAGCTGTGCACTCCCAATCCTTTAGTATCAAACCAAATATCAAAGGCCACAAACAAAGAGAACCTCAAATGTTGTCGGGGCTTTATTGTTTTCAATGAAAAGGTTGCACTGAACTGCTGAGCTTCTGATGTCTGTGCTATTAGTTGGCTCTGTTGGATTAGCAGAGGAGCTGTGATCTGTTACAGGTCCTCTGTAATCTGCGTCCTCATCTGGCACCAATGAATTATTTGGTTAACCTCTCCTCCCTGAGAGACTGCATGTTTCTCTGTGACATTCCGGAGGCCTATAATGTGACGCTAGTGGGGGGTCTTCCCTCGGCCGGGCCCAAGTGGTGCCTCGCTCTCCTAACTAGACTCGGCTGTGATAGGGAAACGAGATGTAGACCAATACACAGCGGAGGCCGATTGGTGTGCACTGTGTTACCTGGTGCTAATCAAGCAGATCTGGCCGGGGCTGAGCAAATTGCTCCGCTGGACCATGATTTAGTGTCAGGCTCCACTGCACTCTGGTGGTGCTCACCCTGGACCACAGAGCGCACCGTGATGCGGATGTCTGGGGACAGAGGGCACCTCTTTCTTTGGGAGCGGTTTCTAGTTGAAATGAATCCTAAACTAAATGGAAGCAAGCTGAAACCAGAGCGGTGACACCTCAGTGTCTGACTTTGATCTGACCCGCCGTAAATAACCTCTCCAACTTTTCTCACATTCTTGAAAACTGTACCCACAATAAGATATATGGGACGGTGTTACTTGTAATCTCAGGACTCCCTTTTCTCTTAGCGGTACCAAGTTTTAAAGCAATAACACCTGCATAACAGATCCACCTCTGACAGTCAAGACAGGGGGAGAGTCCACATTATCCTTCAGGGTCCTGAGGGACTTAGGGTTACAAAATTCAAAGTTTGAAACTTTCCATGGGACAGGAATAGGAATATATGAGAATAACAGAAATAAACAGGGACATTTTTGGGTAATTTAACTGTACTTACCTCGGTATATATGACAAAACAACATTTGGTTTGTTTCAGCAGACATGCATGCAAACATTTGCAAATGCTAATTACATGTTTGCCTTAATTCATATATTTGTGAGTAGGACTTTACTCATTCAACATTGAATAAAATAGTGATAAAAAATGAATTGCTTTACAACAGTTAGCTACATCCTTTGCAAAGAAACACAGCATGTGCTGCATGCATCTTTAACATGTAGTTTGGAATTACCTTTTAATTGCTCAGCCTTTCATTTGCACTAATTACTTTTATTTGTGATAAGTCGGTGCACTTTTGTGTAGACATGCATACATCCTACTCGTTGCTGTAACAAGTTGGCCTACAGTATACAAATGAACTTAGTATTTAAAATAACATGGCTAGGTGCATAGTCTTGTTCTCAACGACATTTAAGTTACCCGTTATATGCTTTTCAAAACAATTAAAAAATTCCCCACCTAAACTTCCCATGGAAAGTTTCCAAAAGGTTACCAGAAATGTCTGTCTGTCCGTCTTTGTGTCCTTCTGTCTCTTTTTGTCTGTCTCTCTCTTTCTGTGTCTGTCTCTCTGTGTGTGTCTGTGTGTCTTTCTATTTGTCTCTCTCCATCTCTTTTGTCTCACATTTCAGCCCCAATCCCAACCTCCCCCCTTTACGGACAGGGGACGGCAGACCTGTGTTCAGAATGTTACATGTTAAAATGTCCACATTTATAATGTCATGGATTTTTTCATAAAATAGAACACCACTGATTTTGTTCTATCTTCCAGATTGTGAACCTCATTGAAGAGACGGGACACTTCCACATCACAAACACTACTTTTGACTTTGACCTTTGCTCCCTGGACAGAAGCACGGTGAGGAAGCTGCAGAGTTACTTGGACACCTCAGGGCTGTCCTGAGGCTCTGAGCAGCTAGCTGCTGATCCGTCTCCATGTAGACTTTTTTGATTTGTCTTGACTGAACTCCACCTTTGGATGCAATGCAAAGGCCCCACCGCGACTGGGTCCGGTTTACTGTGTGTCCAGCCTGCCGCTGGGACCAAGCCCTCTCAATGAAGAGGTTGTCCCGCTGCAGGACCCAGGGCCCGGTGGTGTGGGTCATGAGCCCTGTGAATCAGGGGATCACCCAGAAAGCCTTTAAACCGCACTTGATTTCTGAGAGAGAAAAGAAGTGGTTGCTCTTAATGAATGTGCTTTTTGTCACCATGTATTTTCCTTGATTTGTGTTCATCGTAACAAATGCATGGTCAAAATTACCTTACAACATAGTATGTCTTATTTATTTGTGTGTGTGTGTGTGTGTGTGTGTGTGTGTGTGTGTGTGTGTGTGTGTGTGTGTGTGTGTGTGTGTGTGTGTGTGTGTGTGTGTGTGTGTGTGTGTGTGTGTGTGTGTGAGAGAGAGAGAACTAGAATAACACAAGATTGGACTTTATTGAAGCACTTCACAGGGGGCATGTCTTTGGATCTGTGACAGTGGAGCTGAGGACATAATGTCCCCTCTGAATCATGTCTGTGGGATTGACGGCAGCAGGTCTGCAGAAAGCGCTCCTCTAGTGAGGCCAGTCTCTGAGGATCTGGGGTTATCAAGTTCCAGAAGCAAGCAAGCAGCATTAAAAGAAGTCTCCATTCCTGGGCATACTGCGCAAAACTCAGAGTGCTCATAAGAAGTGAGCATAGTCCCGGTGAACCGTTTAGGATTAATGCTGTCACTGTCACAATTTTTTTTTTCACAATTTATGAATGAATTTGAAATGTGGAGGAGAAACTTGGAGGCTTTAGTTGCAGAGGAGACCTGTGAATCACAGTAAGCACACCCTAAAACGTACCCTAATTTATGATCTATCTGAGTCCAAATGGACTTCATTTAGCATTGTCTTTACTGGGGAGAACTGGAGGTTGCCACAGGGCATGAAAATAGAAATGTACACACATGACATTGGTTTCATGCTTACTACAAGCCAGAGCCAGCGTCACAGAGGCCTTTTAGAATGCAGATGCTTTCATCTGATGGAAAGCCAAAAACATCAAATCTTCACTGACTGCTTAAAGCTCTTATGTGTGCAATAACACAAATACAACACTGTGGTTGTGACAAAGCTGGAGCTGACCAACTGAAAACCAACATTTTAGGGCATACCAATCTTCACATTTCTGTCCTGTTGTACATGAATTGTAAGCCTGCCAGACTAATGAGTACTTCTGCACCTCTTCAGATAAAAAGATGAAATGGCACAAATTAGCTTCCCAGCTGTGAGGATTGGCGCACACATTGTTTCAGCTGCAACATCACAATTCCCATATTTTGACGACATAAAGTGAAGGATGCCCTGCTCATTGGCTGCAACTTAAAGACTGCCTTGTTATGTTGGCTCATGTTCTGTCAACATGCAACATCATTAACAGATCCATTTGGTTTAGGAGACATGTTTATCATCGTAATACAATTGAAGGGAAATCATAAATATTCCATCTGGAGAAATGTATTTGTAGAACAAACCCTTTGTGAGGGGACGTGTCCTGCATTGCTCAAACGTGTGAAATATTTTGGTACATTTTTACAAAAGAGAAGGTCCGTAAACTGATCGCTATTGTACAGGTGTAAGAGGACAAATCATCATCTCTTTCATTTATTTAGTGGGTGTTTGAAAGCTCTGCATTCCTTTTTCCTTGGTTCACATGAGCTGAGGGTTCTCATCCTGCCTTCTCTTATGGTTTATTGTGTATTTTGAAGACATCCAATAAACATTCTTTATGATGTACAGATGAATAATCAAAACACTTGTGGTTGAGCTGTTTTTGCTGCTTTTCTTTAATTCTCAGGTTCATGCCTCTCATGGGTCAGGCAAAATATTCTTCTCCAGTCTAACAAGAATGTAGAATAATAGATTCACTAAGTACTCAGTACTTGACGAACCTGGTTTTGCAGTTGCTTTTGGCTCCGTTCCTCGTATGTGGCTAACTGTTGGAGGAACAGGGCGCGAAGTGAGGGCTTCAGGACAGAGGATGTTGCATGTGTACAGACTGTAAAGCCCTCTGAGGAAAATTTGCGATTTTGGGCTATGCAAAATAAAATAAATGACATTCAATCATTTTTAGGATGAGATTGCATAGATCAGGTTTTTTGTTTCACTGCTTCAATTGATCAAATTTCTAATTATGAATAATACATACATTCATATACGAGCATATACAGATTTGCACAAACATATTAAAACTCCTAGTTCTATACATGTATACACACATATATGATACATATCGTCATAACTATTGATCTGTATTAGATTCTCTTTGGACTTGTTCTGAAAGAGTTGAGAATTATTTAAGCAAGATCTCATTGGATGATGCATTCCATGAAGCCTACTGCCAACCGGTACATTTAAAGAAATGTAATCTGATTGTTTAGAGTGATGAGGCACTTAAAATGAACCTATACATGTTCCCAACACGCATTTAACTTGTCTGCGATACTTTGCCAGCCAAGTAGCCCTATCGGCGTTGGCTGTGTTAGTTTTAACATGATGATGCTATTCAATTAAATTCATATTTTGTATAGTCAAAGATCGCCTCAGAGGACTTTACTGTCTGTACGTATACGACATCCTTTCCGGCACCTGGGATGGACAGGCTACAGTGGATGTTGTGTCTACAGAATGAATGAGAAGTTTCAAAAGACACGTTCAAAGTAAAAGATGTACAATATGTTCAATTTCTTTGACAGAAATGATTCATATGATGGATCAATATGATGGACTTTAATTCCTCATGATCACCTCCTGCTCGTCAGTGGAGAAAAAGGCTCTTTTGAGTTTATTTGCCGTTGTACTGGTTTTAGTGATCGACTCAGATCAATCCATCCAGGATCAGAGTCTGTTTGGGACTGGGATCAAATCTCTGTATCACTACACCCTGTGCCATGCGTGTTCTTATGTGGGTCTGAGTGGGTAGTCTGAGCGAGGAGGCTTTCTTAAGTGTTCACGTCACAGATCTCAGCGGGCCTGCGCTGAAACATTTTCTCTTTTTCAAATATCAAAATGGCCACCCTTGCATGTCCGTGTGGTTTTAATTTACACCATGACCTTTCATCCAGCATCACCCTCTGAGTGAAAAAAGTCAGACATCCAACATCATTGTGCTGCTTTTTGTGGAAACTAAACCATTATCTGCCACCTATCTAATATTGAACAACCATTATCTCTAGGAAACAATACAGTATCAAAATACACACTATTGCAATAGTGCAATAGTTACTGGGATATTGCTCATGGTGACCTCAGTTACAATCTCCTATTGAAGAAATCCCAATGAGACGGCTCTATGGCTAATAGCCAATCAGCAGGTAATCACTTCCACACTTCTTCTTTCAGGGCCAGAGTTTTTGAGATGAGCTCAATAAAAGCTATATCTAATAACAGTTTGGAGAACTGCTTTGATTGCATTAACCTTGAAGGATGACGTTCGATAAAATGATAGACATACTGTACATGGATGTAAAGCTCTACTTGACTGGTTGGTTATATGCAGGCATACACCATAGGCACAAAGATGAACAGCAAATCTATGTACAGTTGTGGTCAAAAGTTTACATACACTTGTAAAGAACATAATGTCGTGGCTCTCTTCAGTTTCCAGTTATTGTGATTGAGTGATAGAGTGATTGGAACAGATACTTCTTTGTCACAAAAAGCATTCACGAAGTTTGGTTCTTTTGTGACTTCATTATGGGTTAACAGAAAAAGTGATCAAATCTGCTGGGTCAAAAATATACATACAGCAACATGAATTAGCAATTTTGGTGACTTAGAAAGTTGTGTCAATGAAATTTTGCTGACTTCATGACTCTTCTCTGCGTATGGTGCTGATCCCCCGGTGAGTTAATTCCGGAAAAAGGATATCTCATAGGTCATTAGAACTTATTTTTGATTTTTGACAGTATAACTTTTAAGTGTACCGTTTTAAATGTAGCCATAACTTATTTGTGTGTTCATATGGCATCAGCTCATCATCAGGAGAAGTTTCAATAGTGAATGATTTTACTGGCATTCCATGGAAGGGGGCATGGAGAAAGAATAAAGCAGGAGAGGGATCTCTACAGGGGTCCAGCCGGCAGGACATCCAGTTTGAGCTTCCAAATACAACTCCCTCCAATAAAAAGGTGGTAAGCTTGAAAATAATCTCCCACAGAACAGACACAGATTGATTGTCACCATGGCAAGAGGCCAAGGCTGATGAGAAAAGCTGCCCCCCATCAAGCCTCTGGATGGTAGTCAAAAGGTCCCTTCAGGAAGTCATTAGAGCTCAAGGTTAATGACGATTCTTTCCTTTATAATCATGTTTCTGTCTAAAGGCATGCTGCTCGGACAACATCCAACTCATTTGCAGAAGCAGGTGCAGCTTCCAGGGCCACATGATAGAAATATTACCTTGATGATAAATTGCTTTGTTCTGTTGCTGCTAAGTTGTGGGTAATATCTTGATACTGAAAGCTGCTAACCTGCTCTGCCTCAGCTCTGTTAATGTAGATAGAACTGTTTTTCTTTGTCTTAACAGTATGTTAAATTTACCTCCCGGTTGGGACAGGTGAGAAAAAGAAACAATAGAAATTGACCAAATTGCAGTCTAGATTTTAACACAGCATTATTAAAATGTTGATCGTTCACAGATGTCTTTGTAAAGAAATGCAAAGATGCATACATATACACCGTATAATTCATTCAAAAGATTAGGTAGACATTACTCCATTACTCCACTATAGATATACATAGATATTAGTGGTTTGCTGCTATGTAAATGCTTACATGCTAAATGTCATTCATAAAACCTTTTAACGGAAGATAACCATTAAAGACAATAAATGTCTCAGTCAGCTTTGATGATGTATTTCTAACTCACTCTCGAAGATGATGATCCGTTTCCATTTTCTATTCATTTCAACTTGTCATAAACACTTATTATCGAGTGAAATCCTTTTTTTAAGTAAGTGGGGAGTCTTGCTCATGTAAATCTGCTCTATTAGATCTCCTTTGCTTCTCTAAGAGCTTATTCATATTTATGTTTACAGCCTGTTGCTGTCTCTTCTGCTGGGGAAGCTGATGTTCAAAGACTACCGAAGCTACCTGGCATCTGTTTGCAAAGGGATTTCAGCCCCCTGACCGCTTGGCCATTGTCATCAACTTTGCACAGAGCTACAATAATTCAAACACTGTGCATATGCTTTTGGGTTGCTGGTGTCCTATCGTGTTGACCTTCCTGTAAGTTTCCCTGTGGAATTGTGGGTGGCTGGCGGTTCTGCCGACCTTTCACCCCCGTGCTTCCCTTCTGCACCCCCACATAGAATGCATCCAAATTAGCCTTCCAAATATCAGATAAAGTTATGTAAAGAACAAAAGCAAGGCGGGCTTCAAAGAGGAGGGACGAAGCATATGGAAGGATGCTGCACGCAGAGGCTTTAACTAGCTCACTCAACCGGCCCGGTCCTCAGACGCTGTGCCAGATTTGATTATTGTTTTTATCTCCACTCCTCCCCTTTGCTCCCTGAGACCCCCAGCACCACCAAAATGGGTCCAGTCCTTTGGAGCAAATCCCAATCCCAGACCTAGTCTTTGATTTCAGGGGGCTTGGCACTGTTTCTTCTCCCCCTGCTTTGTTCCTCTTGATGGATCTAGGCGGGCCGGCAAACCGTGACCCCTGCCAGCCCCCCCTTCTTTGTGAGCGCACACACACACATTAACAAACAATGCCAAGATACCACAGAAGCCGAGAGTAAAGGAGAGGAAAAAGGAGCGGGGAAAAAAATGTCGACAAATGTGCTGAAAGCATCTGTGAATGGAAGTCTCATCCCTGACAGAGATTACAGACCCGGTGGATGTCGGGCTGTTTTCATTGTGTCTGTTCTGATAAGTTAGCCATGTGTGATGGGCAAGGAGGAGAGTCTGGACCGCTCCCTATTCAGCTGCTCTGAACCACCTGCCACCAGACGAACCCCAGACTGAACTTGAACAAGGGAAAAAAAACACTTCAATTCCCAGCCCTCCCGGCGGCCGTCTCATTTTCTCTCTGACTGTGTGATCAAGCCCTGCTTTGTCTCGGCTCTGAAGCGGGCTCGCTGCTGAGTTGACAAGCTTTCACAGTCTCGCAGAGCAGAATATTTCATGCTGGGAACTTTTTGTGTACTGAGGTTGAAAACAAAGCAGCTTATGAGAGGCTATAGGAAATCAGCGATATCTGTCAAAGACCAGCATGCAATTCAGAATGCACACACGCTGATTCAGAGTTCACTTCTCCTCTCAGTAAACACCGTAAAATGTCTACATTATTTGTCCATTCATTTTTGTTTATTAAAACTATATTGAAAATGATTATTTTTATGATTTGGCCATCATTTTGATAAATCGTGAGAACGTTGCACTCACCCCACTGCTTGTTCCCATGTCAACACTGTTACTGCTGCACTGCTTGAAAACAGCGTGAAAACATTTAGATAAATAAAAAAAAACAAAATTTGAGAGAAGCTGAGCAAAGGGTTTAAATCATATTGTGTGTAGAGGTCAGATCCAGGGAGTAAAACGGGTTCAAAAGAAAAAAGCTGAAGCGAAGGACCACAGTTTAAAAGCCCCATACACTTGGAGATCAGGACGGAACAATGAAATGAAGAAACACTGTGCGTGTTGGATCTTTGACCTGTTATAGTCAGTGAAAAGTGAAAGCAGCATCTGTCTACATAGCATAGAAGTGATAATGCTAGTTAATGATATGCTACTTACTTTTCGTTAGCTGCTCATGGTTTTTAATATAGAAACACAACCGTTTTATCTCCTTCCTTAAACAACGTTTAGCAGCCTGAAAATTAACAATATTTAAAAAATGTTTAAAATCTAAACCACCATAAGAGAGTTCTCTTGACAGACAGTAAATCCTTTTTCAACTCGTGATGACGTGTTATGAGCTCTGTAAATCAACCGTAGCTCGGCGAATGCTGCAGTGTGAAGCTGCCTCACCTTTTGCTAAGCTAACCACGGCTCTATACTTCATGCAAGAGCATAGGATTGACATAGAATCCCTAATCTCTTCAAAAGAAAGCTAACACCCAAAAATATTAAACTTTTCCTACACTTTGAGCACAACTGCTGTCCTTTTGTGTATAAAGGTAAAGAATTCTTTTTTTTCAGCCAGTGAGTGCTGGGAAAGGTTCTAGCCCCAAGAAACCCTGAAGTAACAAAGACGTTATGCTACATCTTGATGAAATGAAAAAAGTCTGAATGTCTCCTTGTATTCAGTAAAAGTGACAAGTAGACTGTGCGGACCCTTTCCCATCATTAAGTACGACGAGTTTTGATGCTGTCACATGTGGGATCAGTTTACTAATTATTATTCCACTCATTATTTCCCCATAAATGAGGCACAATGAGTGCACCTTGGTAGTGTTTGGACTCATTTGTCCAGTTAAGGACTTCGGCCTCTCTAGCACCTTTGATTAGTTTGGACAAGCCAGCAAGACCAGCTCAAGTTCTTTGTGCGAGCCAAGTCTGTGTCACTCTGAAAGGTTCTCTTAAGTATTTTTAAATGTCACATCTGATTTTGCAGACATAAGCGGTGAAAACACAACAGTTGGACTTGGCGAACTCCAAAAGTCCATGGACTAATACTCATTAATTAAAGGGTTCACGATTATTTGATTTACGATGCTTAGCTGCTTACGATTTAGGTGAAAATAAATGGTCCTATGAAAATCTAAGAACTCGATATAGACTGAATATTAAAAGCACCCTTCACCAATTTTTGGAATACAAAATTCTGAGCTTTCTGTCTGAGATGAAAAGGCAAACTTTAATATGTCGGCTTGTTTGTTACTGAGCTGTTGTTAGTCTAGCTTAACGATCAGCAGGAAACTAACCTGAACTGAAATAAATGAAAGGTAGGTGGTAGGTAGGTGGTAGGTGATACGCCACGCTCAAAACTCATTGTTTGAAGCCTGTGCAGTGACCCAACAAATGATTGTGTGTTTTGTCATGTTGCAGTGTGGGTAGTGTAGGTGCAGGAATGTAGAATACGTGGAATCAAATTTTCAACGCGGCTTTAAAAACAAGTTTCATTTCATTTTATTGCACCATCTGTTTGATTTTTTTATTGCAATATTGACGTCATCAGGTTCATTGCTCAAACCTCAATGGACATGAAGATAGATCCAACAGGAAACACACCATCACATTTTTAAAAAATCAATTAAGTGTTGCTAAAATGTAGTGTTTGTTATTGCTGCTATAACTTGCTTGTTGGATAGCCGAGTGTCTTTTTAATGTAAAGATTCCCACTCAACTCATCCAGGTCGATGATATGGTTTTGTTCCATAAATCTCCCTGGACGCACCACAGATTGGATGATAGAATATTGTAGGTCAGTTTGTTGAATCCATATAATTTTTAACAGAATGATACAGGCTTTGACTGATGACTTCTAATTATATGGGCTCCATTTATCCCAAAACTGGAGGCTTGTGGCTGTGTTATAGTGTCATCTAGTGGTGACACACTGAGATAAGGGGTCAACTGTATCCAAGTCTGGTTGCCAGATCTTACAGGGACAATTCACCCTAAAACAATCTTCATTAAAAAATAACACTTCAGGGAAAATGTGCATTTTTTATTTTGGAGTATACTGTCCCTTTAATAAATCCTTCGAGTATGTCATGAAGGGTCTAGGCCACATTTACACATAGCCGGGTATTTACAGAAACGAATATTTCTGCCCCTCCGTTTTCAAAAAAGTTTCTGTTTATATGAACCCACATAAATACCGTGACGTTTAACAACCTAAAACTCTGTTTGATCTAGTTTGCACGCAAACACAAAAACTGAGTTTTCAGAAATCTCCACTTTGGCCGGAGTTTTTAGAAATTATTGTTTTCTGTGATAAAACCTCCGTTTTTGTGTAAATGAAAGGCCAAAACGCATGAAAATATATGCGTTTTCCCATTGTGTAAACAGGGTCTAAGCGTGCTTTTCCAGAGACAGAATTCTCCTAAAGCCACTAAAGTATCCAATAAATGTAACCACCTCAACGTTCACAATTCTACAAAATTGTTTGTATCTTTCCACATCTCTTAAACCTGTGTGCAAGTGTGTTAATTTATGAATCACTTTAAAACATTGAGAGCTCAGAGACCAAGCTTGCATCTCAATAAAAGTATCATAAAGTATGTAATATTTGAAATAATTTCAGTCCATCAGCTAAGAATACACAGTACAGTGTTGATGCCAAGATGTTTTCTATAAATCATTGCTTTTGGATGTGATCAGTGGAATGATTCATATCCAAACCGAAGGTTAATAAACATTAGTAAATATATTTTGGGGTTGTCTCTGAATATTCTCAAAGAGAGATACATTTCAAGCGTGAAGCATTTTGTTGTTGTTTGTTTGGACTCATCTCTGGGGGGGATGAGTGATTGATTAGAGTCAGTCCATCAGTTTCTAGACTCCCTGACAACATGTTTCATGAACATTTAATGAATCCAAAATGAAAGCTATGTCCAACTCAACTGTAAAAAGAAAGAAACTGTTTATATTTAACTCAATATCCATTAGAAAAAAGTATGACCGCCTTCTATTTTACATTAAGGTGCTTCACACTGCAGTCATGGAATTATTCAACAGGGCATTTTAACGGCGGAGGACTTGACACTGAGACTTACAGTGCATCTGGAAAGTATTCGCAGCACTTCACTTTTTCCACATTTGTTATGTTGCGGCCTTATTCCAATATGTATTAAATTCATATTTTTCCTCAAACTGCTACACACAACACCCCATAATGACAAATTGCAAAAGGTTTTGGGGAAATTTTTGCTAACCAAAATATAACATGTACATAAGTATTCACAGCCTTTGCAACAACACTCAAAATTGAGCTCAAGTTCATCCTGTTTCCACTGATCATCCTTGAGAATTTTCTACAACTCCAGCCTGCCATATTCAGTTGATTGGTCATGATTTAAAAAGGCCAACACATATGTATATATGTTATATATCAGGTCCCACGGTTGACAAACCATAATGTCCAAGGAATTGTCTGTAGACCTGAGACACAGATCTGACAAAGGGTACGGAAACATTTCTGCAGCATAGACTAACTGGGATAGTCAGGTCTGAGGGAAAGAGGAATGTACAGACTTCCTCAATGAAAACCTGCTCCAGAGCTTCCTTGAGCTCAGACTCAGGGTCATCTTTTTTTTAAAAGAACGACCAAGCTGAGACAAAGGAATGGCTTCGGGACAACTGTGAATGTCCTTGAATGGCCCACAGAGCCCTGACTTGAACCCGATTGAACATCTCTGGAGAGATCTGAAAATGGCTGTGCACCAACATACCCCATCCCGATGGAGCTAGAGGTTTTGCTAAGAATGGGGAAAAACTGCCCAAAAGTAGGTGTCCTAAACTTGTAACATGTCCAAGACCGGAGGCTAGAATTGCTACCAAAGTGTTCCACAATGGCTATGAATACATATGTGCATGTTATATTTCACACTTTATTCAATCGGAAACGAGATCATGCGTGGTCATTATGGGTAGGACATTGAGGAAAGGAACATCTAGATTTGTAATGCAGCTTTAGGCATAGGGCTCAACTGAAAACATGGACCTGCCTCCATGCATGGACTCATCCAGCCAGCAGATAAATTACTGTAAATGATTTATTCACTACAATACATCTTCGGTCGTAGCAGGGTGGGGAAGCAACACGATCAATAGGTTTTAAAAACTTGCAACTTTACACGGCTAGTTAGCATGCTTAATGTGGCTCCAGGCACGCCAGCCCGCAGGCAATTTAAAAGCCGTGGAGAGTTACTTTGAAGGTGGTTTCTTTCAGACTGGGAAACTTAAACCACCCAAGTCAAACATGTACATCAGTCACACTGGAAGAGCAACTTTAAAGCTTCCAGGTTAGTAGTTTAAGAATTAAGACAACAAAAATATAAGCTCAGAAAAAACCAACTGCAAATGCCCAATAAGAGCTTTATTAAAACACTTTGAACATACCAATGCCACGAAAGCAAGTATTAACAAAAATGGCAGCACCAGAAACCGAAAAGAAAAAAAAAGAAACCGAAAAATTAGCTTCTCTGAAGCCACTTAAAAAAAAAAAAACCCCAGTGTGAGTAAAAGCAAGCTCAACCATACACAACAATCAGTGTTCTAATCGAAGACATTTAAGCCACTTGGCAGACTTCACAACTCAAGAGCACTTCAGGTTATACGGTCTTCTGCTGGCCCTTCTTTCCAATCAGAGACTTGTGGATGTGAGGGATCACACCTGGGAAGCAGAAGAAAATGAATGAGTCATTATTACCACCATGAAAGACAAATAAACCAAACTATTCGGGGGATAATCCGAAAATGTAGAGGCATCACTACAACCTTAACTAAATGTAAGGGAGGGGCTCTTTTTTCAGGGTAGCACCGTCTGTGATAAATACCACTGTGGAAAGTAAGACTTATTTGATTGACACATTATGATGAAACTAGAGCCCAAAGCTCAACACGGTCTAGCGCCACCTGGTGCACAACCGTTTCCTTACCTCCACCAGCAATAGTGGCCTTGATCAGAGAATCGAGCTCCTCATCTCCTCGAATGGCCAGCTGCAAATGGCGTGGCGTTATACGCTTCACCTTAAGATCCTTCGACGCATTTCCCGCCAACTCCAGCACCTGAAACGAACAGCTTTTTAACACGGGCGAGACACCGGCAGGACCCGGAAGAGAACAGTTGGGAAGCGTAGCGTCACCTCGGCCGTGAGGTACTCGAGAATAGCCGCGCTGTACACCGCCGCGGTGGCCCCCACTCTTCCGTGGCTGGTGGTTCTGGACTTGAGGTGTCTGTGGATACGACCCACGGGGAACTGCGGGGGATGAGAAAGAGCGGACATTGGTGCAGAGAAACGGGGCTCACTGGCCACCCGAGCAGCCTCTGCGGCGCCTGGTTGTTACGTTAACTCGTGGCTACGTTAGCACACCCGAGGCATGATACACATCAGCGGACCAACCTGCAGTCCTGCTCTCTGCGAGCGCGAGATAGCCTTCGTCTTGGTCTTTCCAGAGTCTTTACCCGCCTTACCACCGGCCTGAAAAACAGCAACACGGTTGCAGTAGTTTAATGATAATGCCGTGAAATGTAATTTCCTAAAACGTGGACAATTAGATGCTTTCTTTTCTGCATTCAGTACCCGGTCTACTGCTCGTCCATTGAAGCCAATGGCTGAGGTAGTTAGCATACTAAGCTAACGTTAGTACAACAGCGGAGACTAGTTTAGAAGCGAATAGTTTCCTACTTGACGATATTCACTAACAACTACATAATATGAATCATAAGCAGTAGCAGTTTGCCGTTCTGACATGCCACTAAGATGACATGGAATACTAACCATGTTTAAAATCCACCAATAATTTCTGACGCTGCAGCCCAAAATCGAGTGTCTCACTACAGACCAACTGCAGTCTTGCTTTGTAACCCCTCAACTGTCGCTGCTTTATAGTCGATCTGTATCCGGGTAACTGCTGCGAGAGCACTAACCAATCATATTTCGTTACATGTTTCCGTCTTTTTGCGTTCAGCCAGTTAGCGAGCTCGCTTTTCGGCAAATATGGTTCCTAACTGTTCTAAGGTAATGCTGGGTAATGTAGTGTAGACAGACAATTGTGTTAACTTTTCATTTAGAGCCGTTAGAAATGTATCAGAGGCAGACACACCAGCTTCAGATATGATGTATTTTCTACTCTTAACTCTAACATTTGTTTGGATGGACATTTATTAGGCCAACTACATAAACCATGCCAGGCAGCTTGTGGACTTTGAACACGTGGTCCATTTCATACACAACATATGATCCCACAATGAAAGGGGGAAGCAGAAACTACAGGGCCACAAATTGTGTGCAAATCCTTCATGTTATGTTTAAAACCAAGTTTCTTGTTCCACTACATTTTAACCTTATAAAACGTGACTCAAAAACTAACTTTTATATATAAATCTTACTGGTTGATTGAATTTCCTGTTTATCTCAAAATGCAAAACTTGTTTTGTAATCCTTTCTATAAAAAAGGAGCCACTTGATGTGTTGTCAAAAGTGTTATGTCCACCGTCCCGTTGTAGTTTCTAAATGAAACCACCTGTGGGCAGTGACTGCTCATGGTTGTAACTGACTTCCCTATATTGATATACAGTATATATATGGTTTACTGACAGTTACTGTGTTACACATTAAATCAAGTTTTAGATACAGAACAAGTCATCATTGTTATACACTTATTTAGTTTAATGAAGTGGGACGTTTTCTTTTGTGCCCAACATCAATCTCACAATATAAAGCCACAAAACTACATGAATGGTCCATATTTACAGGTGCAAGGCTGGACTGAGCTCTTCTTTTATTGTTGTAACATTAAAACAATACACATGATTAATACAATGGAAATCTCAGCGTGTGGATTATCCTATGGGAGGGATTATATGATTTAATATAGAGATAATGTGTTCATGCATTTTTTGTATATGTAATGTATTTGATCCATGATGGTTCAAACATGAGTCAAGCAGATTCCATCTACTCGTTTATAAACTTCCAATCAGTTAACGTTGTATCTTTAATGATAGTGGTTGACGCCTTATTGATTTTGGTCCACATTAGTGGTCAGTTGTCTTCAGATATACTGAAGGCTATAGTTCAGTAAGACACCAGCAGCAGGTGAGGAAACCTGGGAGACTTCAGCCTCTTTTTCTTCCTGATTTTAAGCAGTGCGAATGTGTGTGAAGGCTCCATTCCCGCGGGTGGAGGGGGTGTAAGGACTTGATAAAAATAATCTGTGTGTGTGCGTGGGTGTGTGTGGGACAACAGGCACAGCTGGTGGTGGGTTGGTCACGTCTAAATCTCATTCCATTCATTCCCAGGCAACTCCCCTTTCACCAGTCCCTCACTCACTCTCTCCCTCTGTACCTCACTCAGTGTCAGTCACCTCCCCGTCTCTCCTGTCTCTGTCATATAGCTGTTTGACCTCAGTGATACAGTGGACCACAAAATATCATTCAGTGTTTAACTGAGATGTTAACCGCTTCCTCTCACTCCCAGAAATGAAAACTGGCATATTTACAAAAAGGTTGGGCTTTGTCTTTTAATTCTAATTAATTTGACATTGAAATAAGATTATGTTGAACATTCTTAAAATGACATGTACTACTTAAAAATCTAAACATTTCAAACACTGAACGTCTTCTGTGTGCTCATTGGAACATGTCAGGCTCCAAACTATAAGAGGTCCTGCTGGTACGTTCATGGGTTCTACTCAGAGAAACGCCCCTCCAACATGATAATGACAGCTTCAGCTTTCAGGAAGTTGTGAGAGGATCAGAGGACGTATATCTGTCTGCGCCTACGAGTCAAGTGACAGGAAGCCGTTGATGTCTCTAAAGCCCACTTGGGGGAAAACAAGAGGAAGAGAGGGAGGAAGGGATGGACAAAGGGCGTGAGAACCTGTCATGTCACTCCGCTTTGGCTGCCGGAACTCAAGTAGAACCAAAGACAGAAGGAAAAATAATGTTTGGTGGAAAAAGAGATTCAACTGGAGAAGAGATTACTGGGTCACTAGTATCCAAAGACCGCAATAACATGACAATGACATGGGCTCTGTAAAAAAAATGTAGACAATAATTTGGCCCACTAATCTGTACAAAGGAATACCAACCCACATTGTTTACAGTGTAACCCAATGACATTGTCCCAATAGCATGTGGGGCAATAAAGACCATGAATGTTCACACTCATTAGCAGGCCTCACTTAATATATTCTTCTCTTTTTGTCTCTTGAAGATCCACATTGCTAAGTCACTGGATACGTGATGCTGCATCATGGAGAAGAGCTAAAGCTCCTAGCGGCTGCTATCTTCATTGTAGCCCACAAGAACAAAGAGTTGGATTGAGCGAGCTACTTAATAGAATAGTTTCAGCACTTTAATCCCAACATCCCAAAATGTAATTTGAACTTTTCTGTTTGTGTACAAATGATGTCAATAAGTGATGTTTTTTGAAGAAGTCAGGCTAGCTGTTTCCCCCTGTTGCCAGTCTTCATGTTGAGCTATGCTAAGTCCATTCTCTGTACTTTATGTGCAAGCATTAAACAATATTATTCTCGTCATCTCAGATAAACTAATATGTGTATTACTCAAATTGTTGAATTATAACATTAAATAAACATGTTTTGTCAAACACATGATTCGGTCTTTCTCATATGCACATAATAGCATTTTCCTCACACTTGGCTTACCTTCCGTCATTATACCGGGTCAGCTGCTACATTAACAAGGCTGCTAGCATCCCTGAATGGAAAATTAAATATTTAGGATTTTATTTAAAGGTACAGTGTTTCATAGTTGTCTATTACCTCTAAATAACTATAGGTGGTCACCTCTCAACTCTACTACAGGGTACATAAAATCTACATTTGCAGTAATCGGGTATGTAAAAAAAGCCAAGGGACACTCAAGATTCTACCTCACTGCTAAAACTGAGATGCATAATAGAACCGCTGTCTTATACCTTCACATGTGGCGTTGGCCTATGGTTTATGTTAGCCATCTGGATAGACCGCACACAGTAGTCGGTTTGCTAAAGATATGTATGCAGCAGGATACATTGACGTGTATTGCATAACATTAAAACGGTAACGTAATGTTCCTCCTATCAATAACGAGATGGTTGGTCGAGTCTGCTCCACCTCACATTGAATGTGTGGTTTCAGGTCCGCTCTGTTGACGCGGTTCCTGGGTTGAAGTTTGAGCTGCAAGAAAAATGTATTGCTGCTCTTTTTGATTTAATTGATGGCTCATCCTGCTATCACCACTGTTGACGATCTTTCTTTTTGTCCTGACCACATTTGGATCTGGTAGGATTATCCTCAGGGGTGCAGCAGCATACCAACACAACCAACAGTGACATACCAATTATTGACACATGCCACGACAATAGTGGCATACCATCAGCCGTGTTCCAACCCCCACTTAGATCCAGGCCAGGCACACACAGAACAATGGGTCGAAAGAAACATAGACCAACAATTTTCTCTAAAATTAAATGAGCTGATGTGGCTCGTACCACTGAGACCCATACAGGCATAAGCAGCTCATTTACAATCAAAACCTGTAAACTCTTGGGGTAACATTATAACAGCAATGAGAAAGATCGGCCTGCCCCTGTACACTCCTGCTCTACAATACATTCGGATCAAGAAGGAGAGCAGGCCATGTTGAAACCCTACATTTCTGCTGACCAGTGCGCCTCTGTGCCCTTAATATAGGCCTCCAACTTATCCTCTTCAGAATTTGTGCTGAATTGCCCATTATGGCCAAAATGTATGCATGGATAGATTATTTCATTATGTTCATTAATAATGAATATGCATCATGACAAACGGCAATGACTGCAAACAGCATCTGCACCCCCCTAATGCTCCTCCCTAGACTTTATAGGTTCATCGGATGGAAATCCTACAAAGGAGAACTCAAAACCGCAAACCAAGCAATATAACAGCATCCCCCATAGGTGGGGGAGGTATTGTGCTTTCATAACAATCTCCAAAATACAGTGTGCAGATTGAGTTAACCAGTGAATGTTAATGGCTGTTTGCAAATGCATAAAGTTAACCCTGCGCACCCATCACACACTTGCCCTGATCGCAGCTGGACAACTAGTCTGACAGGACAGATGGTCCAATAGGATGCTGGGAGAGGGAGGGGTGACACAAGGGCTAAGGAGAAGGATGGATGCAGGATGGAGAGGAGGGAATAATGCAAATGTATTTTGGTGTGTGTGTAGGAGGGAGTCAGCTGTTCCTGAAAGAATAGAAGAATAAGAATAAGGGTTATAAACCTCTCGGGAGAAATGTCCTGCTGATGCTGCATTTGCGTTTGGACACAAACAAAGCGGGCACACATACTTTATTTAAGACCAACAACAAGACATTAGCTTCCATTTATGATAATAGACATTTATTGGATTACCTGACCACTGCCTCATTATAAACCTTCAATCCTCTTCATGATTGTTTCTAATGTAAATAATGTCTGTACTGCTCCTATTCTGATTGTTTTGTATTAGCATCAAGTATATTGTCTCTCCTTGATTTCAAGCTATTATGAATATGCAGAGGGAGAGCCCGCCCCCGTTAGTGTACGTGAAAAACACTTGCATTGTGACCACGCCCATGGATTCTTGCTCCCTCGCGCTGGCCACACCCTTCCAAATCCAGGTAAAACAAAAAAACACGCTGTTTTTTTTTTATCGACTTCCAGTTGTGACTGTAAAAATAAAATGAAATATTGAACGAATAAAAGAAAAGAGAAAGTAAGGAAAGATTTTACAAATCAATTACTTGAATACGAATATGATTTTTTTTTAAATGTCCTAATAGATTACCATTGAGAACTAACTATATTATTATACTTTACTAGATTACACAGTTCTTTCAAGAAAACGTCTTTAGAAATAAATTGGACATTCAATATGCAACAAAGTGTTGACGAGGTTCTCTGTTTCGGAAAAGAATCCATCCTTAATAAGGTCAATAAAAGACAAACAGTGACGCTACCAAAATGTTTTGTATGATCACAAGGGACATCACAGAAACACAGTATTAAAAGTCAGTGTCCGTTTCTTAACTGTATGTCTTATCATTACATCTTAACAAGTCACAAATGTGCTTTATGCAGAAGGGGCGCAAACAATTTATCATTGTGAAAAGGTGTGTCCACAAAAACAAGTAAGCTAAACATGATCATAGTCATTGGGTCTACAATATATTGAATATTATCGTGCTGTGTAGTTAGTTTTTTTTTAAATTTGCTCTACCTGAAAGTGGGATGCAGAGAGCTGTAATCACAGTTTTGTGCAGTGTGATCAAAACATTTTCGCTTTTATTATGAAGGGAAGACCAAGTGCTTCCGTAAATGTGCCAGCTTGATGTAACTTCCTGGAAGCTTGACAGCTTGTACCTCTCGCGTTCACTCGTGGAAACCACAGCTCCCGTTGTGTGAGAGACGCAATCACAACTCCGGCGGATTTTTCTCGGATTTCCTTTTTGTACTTTGAAAGAAGTTTACGAGAAGCGGTCTCGGAGTTTGGATTTGATTGAATCCTCCGGGGTATGAAAGTGGAGCGGACGCTTCCAACAAAGTAAAAGAGGTGGTCGAGCTGAACGTTTGATGGCTGCTGGTGATGGAGCCCAGCTGCCTGCCACAGTAGCGGCCAGCCGGAGCGTGGACAAGGGGCTCGAGGAGGCGGCGGCCAGCGGCGCTCTCAACTTGTCGAACCGAAAGCTGAAGGAGTTCCCCCGCAGCGCCAGGAACTACGACTTGTCCGACATTACGCACGCAGGTCAGTCTGCCTTTTCACTCTCTTCCTCATTAACTAACGCAGCAGCCCCGGCGAGCTAACAAGTTAGCTGTTACTATGAGAACAGCCTTTTGTTTTACCACCACCTGCTTCTTTCTTGTAGCGGGGGTAGCTCGTCCTTCCTCCGCCGACACGTTTCACGAGACCCGCTCCAGTAGCTGCGCAGTCCGCTTTAGTCCCAGTGACTGACACGGCGGTGAGCCTCTTAAATGGTTAAAGTATTTGAATTCACCTGGACTTTCGGTACGTGGGTACCAAAACAAGCACTTTGTATATTCATAAGGATTTTCATAAAGGCGTCACCGAACTGAGGCGTTTGCGTTAGTTTGTGTGCACCAGACTTCTTTATCGCAACCGTAAAGACATGTGAAGCCGAGGTTTGCTTTATAAGGTGTTTCCTGCTCACTTAAAAAAACATCCACATGACCTTCCAGCTTTTTAGGAGAAGCATGACAAGTTTTTCTTATTGTTACAAAGTGGGCTTCAAAGTGAAAAAGAACTGTGCGACACGTGAGTTCCGGAAGGTGTGCTCCTGCCGGCCTCACCGGCCCCACGGCTCGGCCCCACGGCTCGGCCCCACGGCTCGGCCCCCGTGTTTGACCCAGCGGGACTGTGTAACATCATGGCAGCCCCCTACACTCAATGGTTGTGTCATCCATTGAATGTGAAGCTGACTGGCGCAGAGGAAGGCGTGGGTGACACCACCTGGGCCTCGCCATGTTGTTACAGGATCAGCACATCCAGGCTGCTGATATCTATCTGGCTACTTGGGGCTTTAAAGCAGCCCCCCATATAATTTGGTCCTTTCTGTGCTCTGTGCTGGTAATTATGACCATCTGCTCATAACAACCCAAGTCGGGGTCCTGTGGGATAAGAAGGCCGTGAACGCACGCACACAGGCACCTGCCGCTTGAGCGACCCAACCCTAGTGACTATGGAGGTGATGAATACATCAAATAGCTGCGTTTCTCCGAGCACAGGTTCTGTCAGTCAGTGATGGAACAGCTGATGTTGTCAAAGTTGGGTGTCTGCACTTTGCTCAGCTTGTGTGTGACTCAGCCTGTGAAGGTGGTTGTTTATTCTATTCTGGGGCTCCATTTCACAAAATAACCTGGATGATGCACGCAGCAAAAGTGGAGTGTAATGATGTGCCTGAGGTGCATTGTGGGAAGTTTAGTACCCAAAACTTTGGAGCTGGATCCAAGGGGTTGTTGTCCAGTGTACAAGTTTAAACCAGTTTGATTATATGCAAACTGGCTGAACGTTTGTCATTGCAACACAAACGGGAGAAACCTAAAGTTACATAACTCAACACCCTGTGCTGACAGCATCACAACACTAAATCCATCACGTATGTCATTCATCATAATAACCAGCGTGAGAACGGGGATTAAATGTGTGTCTCTAAAACTCAGGCACTGGTGTCTGGCTAACTGTAGAGCGCCAGCCAGCAACATTAAGAAAGAATACATTTCAATGAACTTTTAGAACCTCTATAAAGACATTTACCTAATTATGTAAAAATATTGTTATCGGAACCAGTGACTCTTTTCACTTGACATTGTGTTCTGGTAAGAATTTGAATCCAAAGAAAGGAAAAGTCATGAATGTTCAAGAAGTGTGTTGCGTTTCTCCTTTCGATCGGCCTGTGCTTCACTGGAACAAGGCGGCTGCTGACATTCACACTGCCTCATCGTGACTCATCCACTAGTCATCCCGCCTTCGTTTAGGCCTGTGCTCCTCTGGAGGCTCAAAAGGTTGTCGGTGTGGTCATGTCTAGAGTGCGAGTAATCTCAGTCTTAAGGTTGTTCGGTGTAGAATCTGATGCGTTTCTAGCGTACATAAAGCTTCTGACTATAATGACGACTTAGATTCAGTTTGATATTTAGTAAAAGTGTGGATGTGATTTCCTCTTCTACACAGCTCAGCAGTGATTGCTGCTAATAAGCGAGGACAAGAGCTCGATTCAGTAATTAAAACTCCTACCTAACCGGCTGTAATATGTGGTTGCTGTACTTTTGTCTTGACACTATGTGTGAATGATGGAGTGCCGCCCTCTGTGTAAACCAAACCCACTGACGCCAGGCGCTTCGATGGAGCTCCATGTGGGCCAAACCGTGTCGGATCTATTGTTGCTTGGTGAGCTCAGGTGTATTTCATCCAGCCTCTTAGCCAGGAGCAGGCCGGGTAGTGGGACAGCCTTAAGTGGTGCTGAGTCCGACTGGAATGTAGGTAGCGCTTTTAATGTGCTGTGTTTTACATTGGTGGAATCTCTTTATATTTACTGTGTCCAAATGTGAGTTTGAAACATCTTCTGACCGGGCGACTGAACGTGACGGGGACTGGATCATGTGACAACATATAACATGAGTTGAGGGTTTAAGAATGTTGTCTTTCAAATAATTCTTCACTTGTAAAGACTTTCTCTCTTTGTGTATTGTAGTTGCACAACCATGTAGAGAGAGAAATAACATGAGATAAATAACATTGGGCCTTCATTGTGTCAAAACTGATTTTAACAATGAAATGTTTACTGGCCCAGTGTAAATTAAATATGCCTTTATTTTTAAATTAGAGTAGTGTTGGGAGCCCTCAGATCATGACCCCCACATGAAGTCATACATCCTTGGAAGAGGGAAATGTAAACAGGATGCTCTGTGCATGTGATCAGTTATTTTCATATCAAAGTAGAAGACCAATCTCTGACAGAAATGTAATGATGGCAATTTGAATTTAATATATGGTCCTGCCGTACACTTACTACTCACAATTATTTGAATAATTTCTGTTATGGGAATTGAATGTATTGTACATGTTTTACATTGTTCATTCTGTACACATGACATCGATTGTAGTCTGTCCATCCCGGGAGAGGGATCCCTCCTCTGACCTTCTCCTTAAGGTTTTTTCCCTTTTTTCCCCATGGAAGGGTTTTCATTTTTTGTGGAGTTTTTACTGTGCCGATGTGAGGGTTTCGGGACAGAGGATGTCGCATGTGTACATGTGGACTGTAAAGCCCTCTGAGGCAGATTGGCGATTTTAGGATATATAAAATAATTGAATTGAATATATCAGTAGAGAGTCGCCGCAACAATCAAGGTCAATTAGGTCGAGGTTCAGCCAACCAGTCAGCCCAGAGCCCACTTCAGATTGTTCCAATGTAGTCAAATAGTTCAATAATTGGGATGAACAAATCAGAAAATGGACTGCTGTTAGTTTAACCAACCGTTTTCAGGATGTTACAGACAGGGATAAAATGAGGCTGGGGAGGCCGGCAGCATTTAGGATAACATCAGCCCCCCTTCTTCTTCACTAGAGCAGCTTCCCTCAGGAAGGTCAAAGGTTCACACACACACACACACACACACAAAGGAGGAGACTTTGCTCGCCTCCCCCAGTGTTTCCCTGTAGCTCAGAGCGGTCGAGGGAAACAAAGCGCAGCTATTGTCTGTGGTGTGCACCTTGTGGACTCACTAGTGAATACACACGGCTCACCCTTAGGCCGTTGCTTTTATGATACGGTTTACCCAAGTACGCGTTTTGATACCATATTTGTGCTGCTGGATTGAAGAAAATATTCAGCATCTTTTCCTTCCAAAAATGTGGGTGTGGGTTTAAGTCAACACCGGGACGTAAACACATAATTGTCTCTTTAGAAAATCGAACCTTATTGATTGATTGGCTGTGATGCCTGTAGTTGTCTGAGCTTTGTTCTTTTCTCTGTAGAAAACTGAGTCTGCAGTGGAAATGATGAGCGGTTGAATGAGGTGTTTGGGAGGATCATCAAGCGATGCCCGACATGCGTTGAAACAATTGTTAAGGCCTCTGTACGCTTCAAAGGAAGTCCTGTCAGATGATCTAATAGCACCTGAACCCAGTGGTTCAACACCAGGGTTAGAGCAGCGCATGTGTCAATCCATTCCTCTGACTTTCTGTAACTATCTAACACCGACGCCCACATGAGCAGTGATTGGTCAGGTGCGTGGCAATAGGAAGTAGGTTGCGTTGTAACTCCTCTCTTTTAACACTCCCCCAAAGCTGCTACTGTCCCTTTTCTAACCTAAAGGGTGAGGTAGTGAAGTATACAGCACACGAAATAACCCCCCAAAGAACGCAGCCATTGTTTATCATTGACGTCGTTATTTAATGATGGGATGCAAGGAGAGACTCATCGAGCTAAAGGGCTAGAAAGGAAGGCCTCCTCCACACGGTCTCCTCTCCATGGCTTCAAATTGCTTCTCATTTTAAATCCAGTTCATAATACAGAACTCTAAATAGGCTGTGCACATCCCTCTTAGTAATAAGCTGACTGACTCAAGGGCCGCGGTTAGTCCCAACAGTCTTGAGAGTGCAGCTTTGTCACAGAAGAAATGGAAATGCTGTTGCACAGTTAGTTGATAAGCAAGTTAATAAGTTTGCTTTCGGTCTCTTATGACCCATGTGGATGTGAGATACAAGAGCTTTTTGCTGAGGACACACACCATACCGCAAGTGAGAAGGGCAGCTGCTGACTGAGAGAAATAATGAATGAGGAAAGGGCGTGTGCGTGCGTGCGCGTGCGTGCGCGCGCGCAGGATATTTCCATACCCTGTTCCTGGTGTTTGCTCTTATTTCTCAGATTCAATTTAAAACGGCTTAATTATCTCCCATCATGTTACATTCTAAAAAAAACTATTTCAAATTCAATTGACATGATTAATTGTCCATCAAGTGTTATTTAGCTCTCTATTTAGTGTTGTTTAGGTTGAGTCGGTTAGAGGTGATGACGGTAACTCTGCTACGGTTTATTTAGACTAAAACCCCAAATGCTTCCCTGCTGCTCAGCAGGCCTACATGCGTAGAAAGGTCAGGCTTCAGCCAATGACTTCAGATGAGTCTCCCTGGATGTCTAGTACGAGTATAGTACAAGAGCTCTGAAAATGGAGACGGCCTTCTCCGTCCCTGGACGACAGCTGTCCTAAGCTGAAGCTATGAAGTCCTGG